TGTGCCAAAAGTCACAAGTTGCCTTTTGGAGCCTCCTCTATTTCAAGCAATAAACCTTTAGAAATAATTTTTTCAGATGTTTGGGGCCCAGCTCCTTCTATGTCTATTGATGGCTTCCTTTATTATGTGATTTTTGTTGATTTATTTAGTCGGTATATTTGGCTCTTTCCTATTAAACGAAAATCTGAATTTGCCATAAATTTTCCAAAATTTCTTACTTTAGTTGAAAATTAATTTGGTACCACAATCAAATCTTTTTATTCTGATGGTGGTGGGGAATATCTTGCTTTACGTGATTTCTTCCAAAAAACTGGCATCTCACACTTTCCTACCCCACCTTACACACCATAATTAAATGGGATTAGTGAATGTAGGAATCGCCACATTGTTGAAACCGGTCTAACACTATTACAGGCTGCCTCACTTCCTCCACGTTTTTAGAGTCATGCCTTCACAACTGTTGTATATCTTATTAATCGCCTTCCCGGACCTACAAATATCTCCCCTTTTGAAAAATTATTTCATCTCAAACCCAATTATCTTAAACTTTGGATTTTTGTTTGCAAACTTCGAATTTTTGGTTGCACTTGTTATCCATGGTTACGTCCTTATAATTCTAATAAACTACAACCTCATTCTCGAAAATGCGTTTTTCTCGGTTATTCCGTTGATCATCTTGGGTATAAATGCTTTGATCCCGTTATTGGGAAAATTTTTGTCTCTCGTCATGTTCGTTTTGATGAGAACAACTTCTTTTTTCACAAGACACCTTTTGTTGCAGCCAACCCATCCATTGTTGTCGGTGCTTCGCCATCTTCTGAATTTGGCCCTCAAGCAGCAGTCCCTAGTGCGGCCTCCACAGTTGTTAATCAGGTAAGCTTTCTCAACCCTCCATCCTTTTCTACCTCAGTCCCTGATCTTGTCCCTTCCCTTGTTTCCCCGATAGGTGACTCATCCCCGACACCATTAGCTCCTCTTTCACCCTCATCTCATTCCACCTCTAGCCCTTCTCTCGATCTCAAACCTGCATCCACCAGAACCTTGCCTTCCTCTCCTGTCACACAACCAACACCTAGCCATTCCCAGGCCAGTGTCGTTTCTCCCCACTCCGACTCACCTCACACCTCGCCTCCAGCACCAAACCCGCCTCCTATCCCTTCTCGAACTCATGGCATGACTACTAGATCTCAACACAATATTTTCAAACCCAAAACCTTATTCACTGCATCTAAACATCCCATTGATCCACCCTTAGAGCCCACTTGTGTTAGTCAAGCCTTGAAACATCCTCAATGGCGTTAGGCTATGTATGATGAGTTTAATGCTTTGGTTCACCAAGGCACTTGGGAGTTGGTTCCACCTAATTCCCATCAACATGTGATTGGCTGCAAGTGGGTATTCCAGGTTAAACGGAATAAGGAAGGCAGGGTTGAATGGTTTAAAGCTCGTCTTGTGGCTAAAGGATTTCATCAAAGGCCTGGTTTTGATTACTTTAACACTTTTAGCCCTGTTATCAAACCTGTTACTATTCGAGTTGTTCTCTCTTTGGCAATCACTCAGAATTGGTCTATTTGGCAATTAGATGTTAACAATGCTTTTCTCCATGGAAAGCTTGAGGAAGACTTGTTTATGGCTCAACCACCCGGGTTCATTGATGCTAGTCTACCTCTGCATGTTTGCCAGCTTCAGAAGTCTATCTATGGCCTCAAATAGGCTCCTCACACATGGTTTCAAGAGTTGAAAAGCTTTTTACTCTCTCATGGGTTCCAGAATTCTCGCTCAGATACATCTCTTTTTATCTATCGTAATGGGTCTGATTGCTTATACTTTCTGGTTTATGTTGATGATATCATTGTGACCGGCAGCAATCCACAGTTGATTGATTCTTTGATTCAATTGATAAGCAACACATTGTCTATCAAAGACCTTGGTTCCCTTACTTATTTTTTGGGAGTTAATGCTATCTTCACTCCTGCAGGCCTTTTTCTCTCCCAGGCTCAATATATTCGTGACCTACTGGATAAGTTTGGCATGGCTGAGGCTAAACCAGTTTCCTCCCCAATGGCTACAACTCCTCTTCAATTGCACCAAGGGCTCAAACTCTCGGATCCTTCTCCATACCGGCGTCTTGTTGGCTCCTTGCAATATCTTAATCTCACAAGACCGGACATTACTTTTGCAGTTAATCGTCTTTCTCAGTTTCTCCATGCCCCTTCTGATGTCCATATGCAAGCTGCCAAGCGTGTTCTTCGCTATCTCAAGGGCTCTGTTTTTCATGGTCTTCTTCTGCGCCGGCAGCCTCTGTCTCCTCTCCATGCCTTTTCCGACTCTGACTGGGCCGGTGACAAGGATACCCTTCGGTCAACCACTGGCTATCTTGTGTTCTTGGGTCGCAATCCGATCTCTTGGAAGGCTTGTAAACAGAAAACGGTTGCCCGCAGCTCAACAGAGGCCGAGTACCGTGCTCTAGCTGCTGTATCCTCTGAAGTTATGTGGGTTTGCCATCTTCTTCGTGAATTGGGGCATCTTGTTTCTTCTCCTCCGGCAGTGTACTGTGACAATGTTGGTGCTACTCATCTTAGTAGCAATCCAGTCATGCACACTCGTATGAAACATATTGCCATTGATCTTCATTTTGTCCGTGAGTTGGTGGATCGGAAGCTTCTACGGGTCAGTCACATCTCTACTGTTGATCAGCTAGCTGATGGTTTTACTAAGCCTTTATCCTCGTGGCAGTTCTCTCAGCTGAAATCCAAGATTGGCGTTACCGATGGTAGCTCCATCTTGCGGGGGCGTGTTATGGAAACAACTCCTGTCAACACAGCTCGTGAATCTGGCTTGTGAATCTGCACTAATTATAGCAAATATAATCAGCATTATATGCAGGATATCAATCACACTTATTTGTATATATTTTCTATTATTGTATATCTTTAATTTCCATAAATAACTGCAGACCTTGTGTATATAGGATACTCAATTCTGTGAATAAGACATATCAGTTTCATTCTCAAGTTTCTGCCTTAATATATGGCAGTGTTTATAGAGCACAATTGCCAAGTGGCCAAGTAGTTGCTTTGAAGAAATTGCATCAAAGGGAAGTAGAGGAGCCAACATTTAGTAAGAGTTTTAGGAATAAGGTTAAGATGTTAACAGAAATACGACATAAAAACATTGTGAAGCTTCATGGATTTTGCCTGCACAGGAGATGCATGTTTTTGATCTATGAATAAATGGAAAGAGGAAGTTTGTTTGTTGTGCTTAGAAATGATGATGAAGCTATGGAGTTGGATTGGAATATAAGAGTGAATGTCATAAAAAACATAGTGCATGCTTTTTCTTACCTTCACCATGATTGCGTCCCACCCATCATTCATTGGGAAATATCAAGCAACAACATTCTATTGAACTTGAAACAAGAGGCTTTAATATTGTTGTTGATTTTGGAAATTCTAGGTTTTTGGATCTTAATTCATCCAATTATACCGTACTTGCTGGCACCTATGGTTATATTGCCCCAGGTTTTCTCCATCACCGTTCTTATTCTGTTATCTAATTTCATTAACTATTGTTGAATTGACATGTTAAACATTGTACACTTTTTCTATTTAGAACTTGCCTATATGATTGTTGTGAGTGAGAAGTGTGATGTTTATAGCTTTGGAGTCATGGTATTAGAAGTACTGATAAGAAGGCATCTCGGTGAACTATTGACATTGTCATCATCACCATCTTCTTTGCAAAATGTGATACTAAGTAACATATTAGATACACATCTATCCCCTCCAAGAAGTAGAAATCTTATCCAAAATATCGTGGTTGCTACTACACTTGCATTTGCTGGCTTGCATGCAAAACCCAAGTCCAAACCAACAACGAAAGTTGTGTCTCAACAATTTGTTGCCTGTCGAAGACCACTATTGAAGCCTCTTCCAACTATTTCTCTTTTGGAATCGGTGAATGGTGAATTGGAGATGAAAATTGGAATAGAATCTCAACCAAAAGTTTCAAGTCATCCAGTCAAGGATCATGGTTCTTCTTCAAATGAAATTCTTGATGTCTAGTTTTGGGAATTAGAAGGCTAACTTGTTTTGATAACAAATAGTGAATAAAATAACTTCCTGCTTTGGTTAATAAAAGAAGTACCCATAATGTATCTCTATCTTTATTTTTTGATGCAGACTTTGCCTACACCATGGTGGTTTTTGCAAAATGTGATGTTTATAGCTTTGGAGTATTGGCGTTAGAAACATTGATGGGATCACATCTAAGGGAACTATTGTCATCATCTTCCTTGCAAGACGAAATGGGAGTTGATGTATTAGATCCACCGCTGTCACCTCCAAGAATTCAGAAGGTTATACAGAACATCCTTCTTGTTGCTACAATAGCATTTGCCTGCATGCGAACTGAGCCAAAATCCAGGCCATCAATGAAACATGTGTCTGAAGAATTTCTTTGTCGCCTTAGACCTGTACCTAAACCTTTTCATGCAGTCTCTCTCTTGGAAGTGAAGGAATATGGATTATGCATGGAAGGTGAAAACAAAGCTTCAATACAGCCAGACGCAATATCAGAACCTGCAGTGTGATTGTCATATTTCCTTATGTTTCTCATGTTAATTATACTTTGGATGGTAGGAAGCTCTGTTTTATGCTGTTACCTTCTCTATCTTCTCATGACATATATTTGTTCTATATTGCTTAGGGTAAGCATGAACTTTTATTCCCATTTTCATCTGCAACAACATCTCATTGTCCAGTAACTCCAGCGCTCCCCCATTCATTTCT